AACATGAAAATCAAAGGCTGGCAAGGAATGAACTATTTCCTTCCTGTGAACAAGACATCGTAATAGGAAAAGATGACAGATTGTTTTAAAAAAATTTTTTTACCTAAACTTTTAAGGAGAGTCACGAGGGCTCCTTGATTTAAAATTATGCATGGAAAAATATGAAAAGCTTTTCTTAACATGTAACTAAAGACAAAGATCATATAACACTGGTAGATTTCACCAAATAACAATCTAACTTTATACAAAGAACAAACACCAAAAAGACAAATACCTGAATGTGAAACACATAGGACACATATTCGTAACAGTATCGCTAATGATGATGTAATAAAGAGCTCAAAGCAGTAAGAGCAAAGAACGCACACAAACACAGTAATAAGAACATGAATGGCAAACAATATGGAGCTTTTCCAACCTCTTTAGTAATCAAAGATCAAAAAATTACAAATTAAGAGACGTTTCCCCCATATGACAGAAAAAGATAAAAAATTCTAGAGTTAGCACTAGAGAGAAGAAGAAAAAGAATTCTTATGAATTAAGTTGGCATTTTATATCTGAGAGGTAATCTGCAACCAACATGTATCAAAATTTTAATTGTATATATCATTGAACTCACTAATTCTCCTTCTAGGAGTTATTCTAATTCCCTGCATACTTTTTAAATGTACATATATAGAAGCATATGTTAACAAACTGTAAGAGGAAAACGTTAGAAACAATATAGGATGGAATCATACATAATTATTCCTAATGAAAGAAATTCGAAAGTTCTGAAATGTTCATAATATAAACTGTTACTGAAAAAGTCAACACAAATACACATACACACACAGGCATATATATATATATATATATATACACACACATACACACACACACACACACACACGAGTCAATACATATAATACATGTAAAGAATTTGCATTAGACTGGGACGTAATACAAATTGTTTTTAGGCATATGTAAATAGTTAAAGAAAAAATCTGGCAATGTATACACTAAGCTGTTGATACAAGCCACACAGTACATGGTCAGTATCTGACAAAGAAGTAGTCTGAGCTTATCTCTGATTACACAATTAAGGGTATTTTCACTTTCTACATCTCACTCTTCCTTGACTTGCCTCCTGTGATTCCACTCTGAAAAGATAACCATTATTAACACAAAGTCTACAACACTACAAATTTTTAATTAGTATATTCAAGCATACATACCAATAGTATATTACACTAATAAGATTTTAAGATACTATTTCAAAACTTTCTTTTTTATTTGGAATTAGATTCTAGAAATATGGATTTTTGAAAGATAATTATTAATAGTTTTTGTCTAATGAAAGACTACTGATTATGCATAGCTTTATAGAACATTGTTCTGAAAAATTCTAAAGCAGGTCTAGGTTCATCCAGAAAGTGATCAAGTATGAATGATATCACAATACATGTTGACTTGAGAAAATGCCCATTAAATATAATGCTGTGGGATAAAAGGGCAGCCAAATCCCTAAGTATTTCATTTAAAGTTAAGGGATGGATGGACTTGCCACAGGAACACAGAAAGGGAACTTGCTTTTTTGCATATCATAGCTTACAGATTATACCATGCAACATTGAATAAGTATTTATTAACATCTTATATAAAGCATTCTCTGAGGCATTAAAGATATATGAAAAAAAGCCTATAAATCTAGTCAAATGAGCAACAAAAACTAAAAACAGTTAATGTGATAGGCACACACATTACTGACAATGGGCAGTGAGCAGGTAGGGTTAGAAGGGCAAGAGTATTCCAGAAAAGAATAGAACAAATGCAGAGGCCTAGAAGAAATGGAAAAAAAATCCAGCATAATTATGAGAAAGGAGTTTTGCTGAGGCAGAGAAACAGGAGAAGGGTGGCAGGCGGTGATGCTGGAAAATGGAAAAGTACTCACGAAAGGGATTAGGTCACAAAAGACACAGTAAGCCTAGGCAGCAATGCTGTCAAATTCACTTATTAATTCTAACAATTTGTAGATTCCTTTGTATTTTCTACATAATCTGTGAATAAAAACAATTGTACTTTTTTTCTTTTAATCCTTATATTTTTTGTTTCTTGAGTAGAACATCAGTACAACAGCAAAGAGAAGTGGTAAAAGAAACCATCCTCAATTGATCAAGAAAGCATTCACTATATCAGCATTGAACATGATGTTGGCTGTATATTTTTTGTGTTCAGATAATGATATGGATTTTTGGCTTCATTCTGTCAATGTGGTAAATGACATGGACTGATTTTCAAATGTTAACCAAACTCGCGTTTCTGCGCTAAATCTCACTTGGTCCTGATGTACAAGTCTTTTTATAAATCACTGTATTCTGTGTGCTAATATGTAAATTATACCATGTAGCAACAGAGCAGAGCTAGAGCAGAGAGTGGGTATGCAGGTGGGTAGAATAAGAAAAACATGATAGCAGAAATGAACTATTCGGTGGAAGAGTTACTAAACTACACTGAGACACACATTGCAAAAAAAAAAAAAAAAAAGATTTTTTAAAAAATTAATCTGGGAGGGGGTTTAATACTCAAATAATATGAGTACAGAAAGAAATGCAAAAGAAATCTCAGGGAAATCAATCATTAACAAAATAAGAAAATTTTCCAGAACTGTAGTACTGACATTTCCACAATGAAGGGCCCTAGGATAATGGATGAACAATACAAAGCAGTGCAAAATTTCAGAACACTAGGAAGAAAGCAAAGATTCTACTATCTCACAGAAAGAATAAACAAGCTATATCCCAAGAAAAAGGTATCAAAATGGCTTCAAACTCTTCCACCATAACACTATTGATGAATGCCATCAAAATTCTGAAGCAACATTATTTACAAACAAGTATTTGACACCAAGACTAATTATCAATGAAGAGTCAAGGAAGAATAAAGATGTCCTTAGACAACCAAGGTCTCCTATACAGCCTCTTCTGGAAGCTACAAAAGGACTTACCCTGTGAAAATGAGAGAATACTATACAGCAAAATGGGTAATAAGTTCCACAGAACTACTATTTTTCATTACAAATTGTATATGATATGATCAGTTGCATATATAATTTTGATAAAAATTTTAAAAAATCTTATCAAATGCAATAGAAGACATAAGTAATTTTTTCAATTTATATAAGAATACTTACCTACATAAAATTACATTTTAAATCAGTATCTTATTTTAAAGTATATCACAGTGGAGGAAGAAACATGTTTTTTTCAAACAGAGTAAATTAAGTCTATGTTACAAACAAAATTCTACTAGCAATACTATCTTTTTATACTTTTTTATGTTCCTTCATGAAATATTTCTGCCCAAAGTGAAACTTAAGAAAAGCTGAAGATTAATAACTGGTATAAACAAAAATGTTTCAGAAATAAAAAGGAGGGGGAGGATGAATCATTGAATGGAAAATTAATTTGCTCTGTAAACTTTCACCCAAATCACAATAAAAACTTTAAAAAAAAGGAAGAGGAAAAACCTGCCTCTGTGAACTGCATATGAAAGAAACATAGCAGAGTCCTTTAGTAATAGAGTTCTTCTTGATTCCATGAAGGAAATCATCCAAAGAGAAAGCTGGGCATCCCAAAAACTTTCTGGAAAACAATGTTCTACAGCCACCTCTGTCAAAATAAAACCAAAACCAAACCCACTGCCATCAGTCGACTCTAACTCCTAGAGACCCTATAGGACAGAGTAGAAACCTTAGGGTTTCCAAGGCCGTAAATCTTTACTGATGCAGATTGCCTCATCTTTCTCCTGCAGAGTGGCTGGTGGGTTCAAACAGCTGATCTTGTCATTAGTAGCCAAGTACATTAACCACTACACCACCAGAGCTCCTTTTTGCCAAAACTGTTCACCAAAACACCCATGCAACAGACAACAGAGGAAGAGAAAGAGAGCACTGAAATCTGTATGTGCTAAGTAGTTCAACAGCAAAGGAAAAATCTCTGCAATGCTGGACGATTTTGTTGCCTCTACTCTTTCTGTTCATTTAAGCTGATTTAATCACTAAATTAACCACTAAAATTACTTATGAACAATCACATGGTAGTAATATTTAGTGAACCTCGTTCTCATCAATTTAAAGAAGAATTACCTGCTTCAAAAAAGTCTTGTAAGGAAGGTTTTTTCATTTCAGAATAAACTTTAAAAACAGAATTTAAATATTTTAATACACTCTAAAAAATAAAAAAGATGTAAAAGTACCCAAACAAGGTAAATGTGATTATATATTTATGTACATGCAAAAATGAGTGAACACAAGCAAATTAGTAAGAAAATACAAACTTTGGAAAGTTCAAGGTATTAAATAGCCAGGAATTATTTAGTCATCCAAAGAGCAGATTTAACTTAAACATATATTTGAATTCTTAAAAAATAAATATAATACATACATAAATAAACAGAACATGAGGAAATATTCGCTATTAAAACAGAGCTGCAAAGGTATGAGCTCTGACATGGGTGGAGATGCAGACAGCAGTCATCTAAACAGAGATAACAGTGAAAACCAAGCTCTCCAACACAGTAAGTATAAGAGAAGAAGGGCAAAGGCAGGAGAGCAGAGACTTGGGGAATACCAACAGAAGAAAGTTAAACCAGAAGCATAACAAAGGCCCAGTCAGCAAGGGGGAAGATCTGGGAAGAAAGATGCTGAGAAAGCCAAGAGAGAAGAGAGCTTCAAGAGAAAGACAGCAAAGTGGGGGGGGGGGCCCTAGAGAGAGATCAAAGAGGATGAAGATAAATCAAAACCACAGCAGAAAGTGAATGGCCATATTGAATTGGTTAAGATTACCTATTTCCATCACAACTGACAGGACTAAAAGTTTATCTTGGGGGGAGGAGGGGAAAGGGAATACACACTTGGAGCAAAGCAGATTTCAGTTATCATTCCTAGTGTCTGCAGTCTAAGACCAACAACAGAAAAACTCTTTCTGAATGATTTGTGTTTCCTTAAGGGCTCCACTCACCAAACTGTGGAGCAGGCAAGATTCTAGCAGCTCGAATTGGGCCATGTCGAACGGAGAAGAGCTCCTGGGCTTCCCCACTGATCTGTATAAGAGAAGACAAAAAATTCAGCAAAGGAAGATTCAGGTCCTAACAGTATTATATGAAAATAAGCCTCCTAAATTTATCATATTTTTTGTCTGAACTGCAGTACATATTTAGATTTATGGTTGGCCATACACATTAAGTACACTCAAATGTCAAATTATTAAAATACTTTTGGAAAATTATAAGAGCACACATTCAATATGAACAAGAAAATAAATGGTCCGTAACTTTTATCTTTATTAACTATTGGAAGTCTGCTCAGTTCTGACACAACTGCCTTCCATTTTAGAGCTTAGCCACTATGATTTTTTTCATTAATATTCAGTTTTCCATTTAAGAAAGAAGTAAACGTTGTTATTCTGAAAAGTTCATTTTAAATACTATAGCAACTTTAGCAAATACGTTGCAATAAGAGCAAAAGCAAGTAACACTCAAGCAGAATGTGAATGATCTAGGTTCCAGTTACGGTTCTGCAGCAAGTAGCTGTTAACCTTGAATAAATCACTTAAGCTATAGTCTATAAGCCTATATCCTCATTTCTAAACTGAGAAGGTAAAGCTCCTAACAGACCTGAAGGATATTTTTAATTTCAATACATCGTAGAGAAAAAAGGTAAATACAGCAGCACAATTAAATGTCATCATTTGTATCACTTTAACTATACTACATGACTGCCCATTCATTATGTGTCATAGCAGATTCTTTCCTCAGGAGCAAAACCAAAAAACCAAACTCACTGCCATCGAGTTGACTCTGACTCATAGTGACCCCCACTGGGTTTCCGAGTCGGCAGGTCTTTATAGAAGTAGACTGACTGCCCAATCTACCTTCCGCGGAGTGGCTGGTGGGTTTGAACTGCCAACCTTCTGGTTAGCAGTCAAATGCCTTATGCACTATGCCACCAGCACTCCTTCAGGAGTAAAGAATACAGTATTCTATTAATATAAAGGATGAGAGGGGTATGCTAATATATGTGTCAAGTGTGCAATTTGAAAGTGCCTTTCAAAATAGTGACTCAAGAGAACAGTTTGCTGCTGACTGAAGTACTGAATAAATTAAATTAGAATTAGTTAAGAATGCCTTTCCAGAATTACTGCAAACAGTACTGTAGCTCTCAGCTCATTTTCATAATTGTATAGTATTTGATGGAATATGTACTATCATCCAGGAAAAATGGCAAACATTATAAAACTAGTTCTAAATAAACAAAAACTTACAACAGATATAAAATCAATCTAACTATATCCACTGCCCATTGAGTTGATTCTGACTCATATCAACCCTGTAGGGCAGAGCAGAACTGTCCGATAGCATTTCCGAAGACTGTAAACCTTTATGGAAGCAAACTACAGCATCGTTCTCCCACAGAGCAGCTAGTGGGTTTGAACTGCTGGCCTATCGGTCACCAATGCTCCTATTCAACAGATACAATAAAAATACAAATCCAATAGAAGAAGCAAGCTGGTGGTTTATTTTCTTAAAAAAAAAAAAAAAATAGGCCTGCCAAACAAACAGTTTAAAATATCAACAATATTATGAAATAAACATTATGAAATGAAATACTTATAAACCTTCTAACATTAAACTATGAATCTGGAGGGCCTACCTTTAGACTAGGATTCCCTGTGTAGAATAAAGCTGTCAACACACTGGGCAGCAACTACAATGGCAGAGGCTCAGGGCCACACAAAGGTTCCTCGCATGAAAGGCCTGCCAGTCTGCCTTGGGGAGGTCAGCCACTGAAAACCCCATGGAGTGCACGTCTAGGCTGACACACACAGGGCTGCCGTGATCTGGTGCAGGCCAGAGGGCAACTGGTTTTTCATCCTTTAGATGAACTACTTTTAGGTCTTCAATCTCTCTTCTATCTAAATTTATGAGCTACATAAACTATAAATATTTGTCTTTCTTATAAATGTTAAATTATGACAGTATTTAAACAGTCATCATATTCATTTTTCTGAAGAAAATTATCACAACTTATATACTGGCTTTAGCAGCAAATACTTCTACAATACTGAGATGCAGAATGTTTGACTGCTAGACTCTTAGGACCAACTATGAAACAATAGCACCACCTATCACCAATTAAACACACAAAAGCCACAAACTCAGCATGGCAAATTTTAAGAACTTGTCTACTCCACAAATTCCTTTGTGAAGTTTAATTAATTTTCAGAATAAAAATCATGGCTATTCTATACTATAGCTCTTAGGGCTACATTTTATGATGATAGAACAGTTTAGAAAAATTAGGAAAAGCCTTAAAAGTCATTTTGTTTAACCTCCCGCCCCATGCAGGTATCACACATTCCCTGAAATATAAAAATTACAATCTCTGATTTTAAGCACATTCTATAAAAGGTACATCAGTAATTTAATCTAATCCCATTTTATAAATGCATTAATGACTGTCTCTTCCTACCTGACTCATGAAATTTTAACAATAGCTAGAAGACTTTTAAAAACTGCCAAATCATTTACTTTCTGAAAATAAATTGTTTGCTAGGCATTGGATTAAATAGCAGCCTTCTCCAGTGTACATACTATTTCTATTAACAAGGAAATGAAAAATAAATTACAAAATAATACTGTAGAACTTGTACTGTAACTACAATTCAGAGTAATAAAAAAACACTTCTTGTTTATAAGGTTTATACCTTTAGCAAATTATAGTATTCTAAGTCAAAACCTACCATTCTGTACTATTATTTCCATATGCCAAAGGCTGGTATTTAGTTCCAGGTTCTATCAAATAAAGCCTTAACATTGAGGGAAAAAAAGAGCCTAAATTACTTAACTGAGCTGCTATAGTGGATAATAAAAAATTAAACAAACCTGTCCTGGCATTATCACAATACAATAAAGGTTTGTTCCCAATGTATTTAACACACAAGAGCTTAATTTGTGAAGATGTTTTTGAAAGCATTTTGAAATCTGAACACATCATGGTTTTCAGCATAACAACTTTCAAAACAAACCCAAAGGCCCTGTTTTATTCTAAGATTCTATTCTAAATTTCTTTCAAGCAGTGAGAAAAAAAACATTAGGACTATGTAGACAACATTCATTATTACCTAACCTTCATTACCTCTAAGTTAAGGCTCTAGAATCTCTCTTAACAGTAAGATAAAGGAAGAAAAGGGAGGCAATATTCTGCCACTATTCATAGACATTCATGAGTACGTACAGGCTACAGAAATTAGAAGCATAATTCTAAGTTATCCTCCATGCGATACAAATGTCAAACCTCCCAGAGGAAAAAAAACTCTTCAAACAGTATATGCAAATTCTATGTAAGGACTTCATCTCTGAGCAGAAACTCTGCTACCCAAGTGTATACAGAGAGAACACAGGCATTTTCGAAAGTGCGCAGAAAAGACGGTTATGACTTTACACACTCTCCCTTCGTGTTTCTCTGGACTGCCTCTAATAATTTTGTACAGTATGCTCACTGGTAATTTTGCTTTCAAAGAAATGAGTGTCAAAACTGACTATGCTAAAGCAAAATTTAAAAAGGTTTTCAGAAGTGATTTAAGTTTCTTAAAGAGAACTCTTATTGAAAAGGGCAAAGAATCTCAGCGATCAGGATTTTATATATCCTGAAAAGAATTACCAGAAGCTGTAAACTCACTTTTCAATCAACAATAACAATAAATACAAGAGCAGAACTACGAGGAAGGAGTGTACCAAGCAACATTCCATCTTCCTGGCAACTGCAGGAACTTGGGGAGAGGAGCGAACAGGGAGGAAACCTCTCCAAGAGCTCTTCATGGGTCTCTGCCTTTGTTCTTACTGGCATTTTAATTTCTGATGACAGACTTTTGTTGTTTGGGGCATAAACCGGACGTACCAGTTTGGAGGCACAATAAGGAGAACAAAGAATGATTTGTTCACACTGTAGGAAAAAAAAAAAATCTTTTCCAACCATAGAAAATAGCTTTCGCATGGTGAAAATATGCAAATTACATACCAAAACCAAAGGGGGGGCGGGAGTACACATTTAGAATCTCACAACTCAATCTAAGGCAAAAGGAAATTTTAACAGCCCAGACAATCGTATACACGTACAAGAGGTTATAAAAGTTTTGGGAGAGATTTAGAAGACCTTCTAGAGAATTGTAAAAGCAAATGAGGGTCATCTCGCCTTCAGAACCAAATTGGATTCTTAAGTCCTAATGAATGCAAAGACTTTCTGACTACAAAATAAAAAATCCAATCAAATACAGAGGATGGTAAATGTGATGCTCTACAATGCCAGAAAATGGGGACAAGAGCACACATCCACATCCCCACCTTCCTTTGTAGACATTAGTCAACGTACTGGCTGTGCCTGAAACTGGTTTTGGGGAAGATAGAATAAACTTTTCATTTGCAGATGACACACATACAAAAAATACACAAAGCATAAATATTTAAACACTTTAATGAATTTTCGAAGTTTATACACCTCTGTTACCAGCACAGATGTCACAAAACAGAACATTTTAGACACTCAGAAATTCCGTCCACTCCACTTCCCAGTCACTACCACTAACAATGAACCATAACCAGTATCCCGACTTCTAATATTTCACATATTTTTACTTTTTTTTTAACATAAGTTTTTACTTGTTAAACTTGTTAAATAGATCACACGATGTACTCTTTTGTGAATGATTTCTTTGCCCATCATTATGCTTATGAAATTCCTTGCTATTGTTGCTTGTGGTTGTAGTTGCTTCGCTCCTATTACTATACAGATTCCCATGTGTGGAAACACTACAGTTTAGCCATTCTACTGCTGATGGACTTCTGAGTCGTTTCTAGTTTGGGGCTCTTAAGATGTCAGGAAAATTGTGAAAAACTTTGAAATGGGTGTTCTTTCAATGGATTACCAGCAACTGTAAAGCTCTTGGGGGTTATGTGATTCTGTAGGGAGCTGCACCCTTGTCTTTGGGTTATTTTCCAATTCTGTAACTTTTAGAGAACTGATAGTAATGCAATAGACTCAAGTC